GCACGTTTGTTCGTTTCTTCATTTTGTGAACTCCATTCAAAGAGGTTTGCCGGAAGTGAAGTTATGTTGCCCTGTCAATAATATGCTTAACCATCTCTCTGGAAATCTCAGTACTGCTTGCACCATGAATGACCCACCATGCCTACCATTTTTGGAAGATATAGCAGCTCCTGTATGCATGTCTTAAAGATAGGGTGCCCCTTTCTTCCCTACTGTCTGTGCGTAGGAACTGAGTTGTCACTTGGTCCTAAGGTGTGGCTGAGTTAACGTTGTATGAGAAATCTTGGCACATTAAACAGTTTGTGGTTTCCTGAAACTTTGGAATTTACTGACCTCAGAATATTGATTTCAGAACCGTGAACACCATTAGCTATTTACATTTTCCATAATAAATGCTTGTGATAGAATTCCTCCCCAAGGAACTTATAGTGTAATATGGGCAAGACAGACAAAAGGAAAGAAAACAGAGGCAAAGCAATTCATGTAGTGTTATATAGCGGATCCAAAAGCAGAGCCCAGAGTGGCATGAATCCTACCTAGTCCTGGATCCTCATCACTGCATCATATTACCCTTCCACTTAAAGGGCAGATGTGTAATCAACATGAAGGAAGGCATGAGGGAGATCATCAATAAAATACATAAGGGTGCACAAAGAGGGTGTGAGAATCTGAAACCCTTTGTAAAATATATGGGTATTTGTGGTGATATAATATCCAGGCTGCATCTGTATTTAACCACTGACTCGCGGATCTGTTTTAGAAAATGGTTACAGGGGTTATCCTATCCTTTTGATAGGGGCTGGTATATTTGTAAGCTATAGAAATCCAGGCTAAAATTCAGCTTTTGTTTTAGCATATTGCAGCATAAAATATTCTGACTGTGTCATACTTTATCCAGTACTTATTGGTTTTTGTTGCAGGGCAATATGAGGAGATAATTCCTGTAAGCACCAAAGAATGTGAAGTAAATAGGCAGGAAGAAAGGAATGCAAAGCAACCTCAAGGAAGAAAGTTTGATCATGCTAACAAGGCTGAGAAGTTTCTACCCGCAGGAGCACAAGAAATGGTGCAGATCCTTGAACGCAAAGTACAAATTAAAGACGAGATGCAATTAAAAGCAAGAGAGAATGCAGCAGAGGAAGAGGATGAGGATGCTGAAGAGGAAGAACAAGTCCAATTGACAGAAAATAAGAAAGTAAACAGTGAGGAGTCTTATTTAAAGAAACAAGAAAATGGCAGGGAGGAATCCCCTCCTAACAGTCCCAGTTTTAACTCCCAGGCTGAGAAACCAGGGGAGCAACTAGAAATTGGGGGAAAAAATGATGTCTCCAAACATAGTTATTCTAAATACAATACAATCTCCTATCGGAAGATCAGAAAAGGAAACACAAAACAAAGAATTGATGAATTTGAATCCATGATGCATTTATAAACCGAAGGGGGAGAATTTGCCTCATAAGCTGAGAGTTCATTTTGTTTTTCCAAGATGCATCTCTTCATGCATTATCAGGCCATTATTATATCCTTTTTGTGTGTAATTTCATAATATACTGTGAAGATTTAACTTCTGTATTTCATTTTGAAATCATATGGAAAAATTGGAAAAAGGATGAAAAAAATCATCAGTTTGTTAAACTTAGTACAACTTATTTCAAAGCTTATTCTTTTTCTTTTCTATACCAATTTTGTAACAGGTTTTAAGCAGTAAAATATTTTAGATTAATTGGTAATGCTATAGGCTCATGCACAAATGTTTCAGTGCTATTGGTCTTGCTAGCAATTAGTAGGCAGCATAATAGTTGCAGTAAAACCAGACTGCAGTAACAATAGAGACAACTGTTTACAATTGCAATGCTCTTTATTTTGAAATCTGCCTATTTTGGTGGCTTACAAAACACAAAATGGCTTTTAGTGTGTATAAACAAGTCATTCCATTTTGTACGGGTGGGATGGACTAATTGAATAAACTTATAAATGTAGAATTGTAGAAATTAAGTACGTAATTTTCATATGACGAGGTAATAAACCCATTAATGTCCCTGTCCTTTTTAACTCTCTGTACCACTCATAAATATATTTTCATCTGATATGGACTGCTTTCCTTTCAAACCATTATAGTCAGCATTTGCAACCATTAGTATCATCCAATGGTTACATATTAATTAGGGTATGAGCAGTTGAGACTATTATATTACTAAAATGGTTTTAAATTCTCAAATAGATATTTTTCCTTCAGTTCAAATATTTTATGTAACAACATTAAGTTGTATGTAAAATTAATGAAAAAGAGGTTATAATTTTAAAGCTAAGCAGTGATTAAGAAACAGTCCCTTTTTGGTATGTATTCCTTCCCTACTTTCCTAAGCATCACTTTGTATCAAAGTCACTACATACTTCTTTCCTTAGTAATGTGAGGCAGCTCTGGTCAAGTGTCACCAGTTATTTAGGAGTAGATGTATCATTTTAAATTCAGAACTTACTGGTATATTATCCTTTTATAAAAAGAAAGCATGATAGATGATTATGGTATAAGTAGTTAATTTATTATCCTTTAGTAATTGGGGTAATTAATGTTAATGTGGGATATGTATAATCTTTTGTGAATCTTCTAGCAGGAACTCGTAATTTAGATAAATGCACATAGGAAGCCAGCATTTTATAAACATTTATATATATGGTACATAGCACATATACGGGTGTGTCTATGCTTGTCAACCAATGAAAAAAAGATGACAGAGAAAATTAGTATTCTCCAAATTTTTCCATTTGGGGCTCCAAGATTTTCTCACACATTTTCATACTTTTAAATATACTCAACATTCAAGTTTAGCTTCAATTCAAATCTTAACGATACTTCCAAGACATGGTAAATTTGAAATATCACCTATTTCTAAGTTATCTCTACATTTTTCTATTTTAAACCCTTGAATGACTATGGTATAAACAAGCTGATTTTGTTTAAATATTTTGAAAAGAATATTCATCTTGGGTTGAAGCCAAGCTTGACAAATCCCAACAGAGAAGGAATTTGTTTAGGAAAGTTTGAGCATCTACAAAGAATGAGAGCAGAGATTGGAAAGGAACTCAGTAGCTTCTACTGTGTCTGCTATAATGCTTCTTTAATAATTACGTTTACATTTCCAGCAGCATCAATTACTGTTTCAAATTTTCTGTTCTACATAAAAGGCAATTATTTATTGGCTATGTGGAAAAAAAATAAAAGACAATTCTTTATTGTACAAACAAAACACAGTCTTCATTGTACTATTCAGACTTGTTTATCTGCTCTTTGGTTTGTGAAAACCCAAGCAGTTAGCTCTTATGAAGGTATATTGCTGTTTTTGTTGTTTGGGTTTTTGTTTTGTTTAGTTTAGTTTTTTATTTTAAAGTACCTCAATCCTGGCTATTGAGTGAGAATTCTATATAAAATAATAATAATGGGGATTAACTTTCAATAGTGTTGAGAACCCATATTTTTCTTTAGCTTAGGTTGTGGTTGGAAAACATTTCTAAACACTCCATCACATTTAAATATTTGAGAGTTAATTAGCTGGCTCAGGAAAGCTGACAAGTAACACCCCTAGAGAATAAATCCATTTAAGTACCAAACAGGCATGGTATGGGCAGCTGGAGTACAAATTTCTCTACATTACACCATCCGAATCCATCACCTGGGACCTGACGGGGACCATCTTTTGGGCTGGCAAGGAAATTCCATCTTCAGGATCATTTAAGCTTGACCTTTATGTATTTATCGTCTATCCAAGTCTAATATAGTAAAAATAATTTCTGTAATAAAAGCTGTAGAAAACTACAAACGACACACAGAAAAATAATGTACTTTTTCATTTGAGAGAATCACACAATTTATGTGTGTGTGTGTGTGTTTGTGTGTGTGTGTGTGGCAGTGTCCACATGTGCATTTAAGCACAACTAAATTTAATGCACATGTGCATTAAGTTAATGTGCATTAAGCAATTTTTGGTAGGTGTCTATACATGCAGGGAACTGGAACTAAAGTTAGTGCACTTGGCACTAAAGTCAATGCCAAGTCCCTGAAGCCCTGCCATGTGCCCCTAGTGGCTGGGCAGACCCAGTGCTAAAGTTAGTGCCAGGTTGTGTCTACATGTGTTAATGCACTTTAACGAATCACAACTACATTTGATACCTTTATTTGCAGGTATCAAATTTAGGCATGATTAGCCTAATTTTGCCATTTTTAAAGTCCATTAAGGGCACACACATGTAGACTCATGCCCATAATGTGCATTAAATTAGCCTAATGTGCATTAACACAGCTTGTGTAGACATGCTGTGTGTGTGTGTGTGTGTGTGTGTGTGTGTGTGTGATGCTTACAGGTAGAGTAAGATGTGAAACCAGCTCTCAAACTGGTTTCTCCTGAGAGGAGGAAGCCAAACTAGGGCTGGATTGTGTCTTTAGGCCCATCCCTCAGCAAGGGATGGTATGTAAACTTCACTACCGCAGGAGTGGCCCAGGAACCATTTTGACTCACGGACACATAAATGTCGGTTCCCATCCACTCTCCGGTCTCCACTGACCACTCTGACAACAAGCAGAAATCAACTTTCAGTCATTTGGTACCTACTCCAAAGAGTAGCCTTGCTGCCTCCTAAATGCCAGGACCTAAGAATCAGGTTACCTTTTGTGAAGATACATTCTTCTTTTGCACAGTCTGACATGGACCTTAACCCTCTGTTAGTGAAAGACATTGTTTTTTCCTGTTCTATTGTAGCCCTGCATGTTTTGTTTGTTAATACCAGCTCTCACATTTGCTTTAGGTTGTTCCAGCTTTCTACACTAATATTAAAACTATAATAAAATACAGTTTTTGATAGATTTAGTAATGTGCATACCTGGGGTGGTCGAGAAAGATTCCAGCAGAATTTGGAATTTTACATGGGTCCAGCCCCTAGTTTGGCTTCTTCCTCAGGACAAAATTAGTTTGAAATACTAATTTCAGAAAACTTAGCCTCTCTTGTGCCTTACTTGGAAAGCAAACGTATTCTTTATGGTCATGAAAAGCTTGAGATTGATGACTGACCTTTGATAAATTTATTCCTCCCCCACATCTACTTGGGCTTCTTTCTTACACTGTAAGAAAATAAATTAAATTAAGAAGCAAACATGCCCCCTATTAAAGTGAATACCAATGTGAGGGGCTTAAAACTGTGGCTTACCTCAAGGGATATCCTCTCTCTTTTATGGGATTTTCAATTACAACACATTCCAAACATGGTGCATCCAGCTGCCCTGACTGCAGCAACATTGGGAGTGCTGAGATCGTGGAGATAGTCCTCAAAAGCTGAGGGACCTTCCAGAAACTACTGTCTGTTCAGCTACCCAAGGTTTGGTAGATATGATGTGTAAATGAGTATAAAGACATGAATAGTTATGACACCTAATTCTTCTGCAGCATCTTTATTTCTAGTACTCCAGGAAGGATTAAGTAGCATTATTTCCATTTTCCAGCTGAAGAAACTGAGGGATGGATGTAAAGTGACTTGCCCTAAGGTACCCAGCAGACTTGTGACATAACTCTCAATAGAACCTAGATCCTTAGATCTAGCCCCTTTATTGTACCTTTCTAACAAAGCTGCCTTGCCTTTCATGAAGCTCCACATAAATTACCCTAAATTTTGGAAATAAAGCTCATCCATTGAACTACATAATTCCTCTATCCACATATCATGAGTTTTGAGGCAGAACTAAGGCACAGAAAGACCATTTAAGACAGAAGGATCTATGTACACAGCAAGGGACCAAATCTTTTCACTGAAGGCTGCAGTAACATTTTCATTCAAAAATATGGTGCAGGATCAGGCCCTGTGAGCAGCTCAGACATACTTGAAAGGCTTGACTACTGTCTCCACTGAAAGCTAATATCATGTTGTTAGTTTATATTTGTAAAAGAAAGGTGTGTGGGGAGGAGCTGGAGTTGTTCATTAAGCTTTGTGAATTTATGTTGAACTACTGCAATGAAAGCATATTTTTTATTTCCCACTTCTACTCCCACCCCACAAACACAGTGTCAGCAAAAACTATATGTGTAACACCCAACAGTACAGAAAGATCTGTTTTCATTGTCTAAGCTGAATGAAAGGCATAATGCACATAAACAGTATAAATAGTAGAAATCGAAGTGTTACCACTTTACCCAACAGTAATGCAGTAAGGAAACATAGAAAGGAATTCAAAGCAGTAAGAACTCTGTTATCACAGTACCACTCCACATGAGAATCTTCATTTCCATTTATTTACGTTTGCTAAGAATTCCTTCTGTCACCATCACCTCCCTCCCCTTTTTTATTTATTTTTTTAGTAGAAAATAAACCAAGTTTTCAGATTTAGCCTTCAAATTCCGTTTTCAAATTCAAAAAACTTACAGGTAAAAGCACAGTGTGAAGGCCTGT